AGTAAGATTTCTTAATTTTGACTAAAAATATGATTAATACCTTTTAATACCAAAAATTATTCATCAAAGTCAGCTATCAAATAAACAAATGAACCTTGTTTGAATATGTTACCGCGTTGTTCTTCATTCAAGCCACTGTTTCTTTCCACGAAATGCTCCTCCCCAGTGCCTCATATAAATTAAGATATGGCTTGTCCTTGTAATCCTTGAAAAGTTGATATGCTAAAATGGCTAGTCCTGAGATGGCATATGGGGTTCCTGCGATTAATGTTGTAGGGGAGTGTTTTTGTGTTCCTTATCCTGTTGACCTTGTTGTGAAGAAGAAAATTAGAGGATTCTCTCATGTACACACCGATGTCTTGGATGTGAATGGAAATCACCTCCTCCAAATTGATGGCAAACTTTGGCAATTGCAGAAGAAAAGAATCGTGCGCGATCCAGCTGGTTTTCCCATCCTCACCATCCGTGAAAAGGTACGCTAACGAGTGATGCACACCTTAAAATTGACTTGTAAGGAGAACATGCTCAAACAAATGTCGTCACAAGTGGAAATGCAATTACAATTGTCATATAAGGTTTATGATAATCCTATAATTAACAGGTGCTTAAATGTCGTCACCGGTGGATAGTTCACAGGGGCGAGAGCTCCGATCTAAGCAGTCTCCTTTACACTGTGCAACGATCACATCCATTCCAAATCAGAACTCAACTTGATGTCTTCTTGGCCAACAATACCAGAGAAGATAGCTGTAACTTCCATGTCAGTGGATCTTATTATGATCAGTCTTTGAGAGTTTACAGAGGTGACGTACTAATTGCCGAGGTATTTATACATTTCATAATGCTTAATTATGCTTTAACTTTGGGTAGCAGAATAAAGGTCCATTTGGCAGGATTGATGATTTTGCTTCTATTACTTGTGGAAGAGTTTTTTAAGAAAGCTACCTGCAGTCGAATTTCAAAAAAATATCAAATATGTTCAAAAGCAACTTTATAATCTTAAAATTAGCTTTTGACTTTTTAAAGGTTGGTCACATGGACAAATTGTTGTGTATTATACAGGTGAAAGACAAGTTTAGATTCGGAAACTTGTTAGTCAAAGGCAAAGAAAGCTTCGGAGTGAGAGTGTACCCTGGTGTGGACTATGCATTTATCATGTCATTACTCACAATTCTTAATGAAATCGACTTTTGTTGAATGTAGTTTTTTAATTGTCATGTATCAATATATGTAATTTGTTATATCTTTATATCTTGTGTTGTAATCAAACCAACACCATGTGTCTCTGAAATTAGAATTTTCAATTGTAAAGTGCCTCTTGGTTATTTTAATTTTTTTGACATAATTGATGATCAGTAGAACCTCTCAATTCCATATTCATTGGATTGACCAAAGAACTCTACGATGAATCACATGGATCGAAAATGTAGGGGTTTAATTGATTCGGATTAGAAAAAATGACAACAGTGCCCGATTAGAACAACAGCCAACGAATACCATATAATGCATTTCCTACTTCCCTTCTCTTTCTGGAAAAGAAAGATGACTTTCTGATGGTAACATGCTAAGCTACCAGAATATCATAAAAATTGAATCTCAATCCTTTATATACATTAAATAACGATCATTATGTTATAAGAGAATAGGCACTTTGTTTAATGAAATTGAAAATATACGATTACTACATAATTTGTTTAATTTATTATATTCAAGAAAACGAGTGGGTTGGACTTTTGACAATTTCAAAATTTCTAAGAATACAAAAGTTGAAGATTTTATAAATAAATGAAGTATTGGATAGCCAACATATTTAAATAAATGAATCTTGATCCCTACGCGACACAAGTCATTAAGATAAACGCTAAAGCACAACTTTCATGTGATTTATAACTGGATGGCTGTCGAATCATTTAACATCCAACTTTAAGTCATAGATGCGTGATTTTAGTGTTCACGTTGATGATTTTTGTTGTTTAAGGACTTTAATAATAATAATAATAATAATAATAATA